GTTAGTTAATGAAAATATTTAAGTCAAGTAAAGTTAAGTTAAAAAAGCACAAAATCGCGATAAGTTAGAAGTTAACTGTTAACAAATTATAAATTTAACTGGATAAGTTAAAATTTAATATAGAAAAAAATAGTAACATAACTCAGCTTAAAAAAATTAATCTATTTTTTTTTTATTAGCATGTAAATTACATAAAGAATGACTATGTCTTTCTAATTTATTAAATTATAAAAAACAATTTTATTGAACTTTTATCATAACGTACATTGTGCAGTGTAAAATACTCATCTCAAATTAATAATTTAATAAATAATTTTTTTTATATAAGTATAATATAGCAACTGAAGGTCATACAACATTTAAACAATTCAATGTATAATTCATAATTTTATTAAAAAAAATTTCGAATATCAACTGCAAAAAGCTAAGTTATTTCAACTATCAATGAAACTCCTTAAGTTCAAAAGTTGATTAGAAAATAAACTAACTAGTGAAGTAAAACATTTAAAAAAATAAATAACTTTTTAACTAGTTAATATCCACCTTTGCATACATGATATATTATGTATGTACAAGTGTACAACTGACAATTATGTACAAGATTGCATTGGCTTACAACTTAGGCAAACATTAGTTTTCAATACACAAACATTATATGTACTAAAAACGGCAAAATCATTTAAATGTTAAAGGTCATATGTAAGGAAAAAACACAAGGTCATCGTTTCCTAATAATCGATGTACACATATTAAGTATAGGCATTAATTAATACTGTTATCCGCGGTATTAACTGTCCGATTAACACATGCACATATTAATGTTTAAGATTAGACAAAAAAATAATAACCAAAATAGGTTAGTAATTAATGGCATAATATTTTAATCAATAATCATATTATGTACATAATATTATAAGCGCTGAACTGTAAATTAGAACTGCTCACAGTTCATTAATATGAGATAATAATTTAATGGATTTATCATATGTACAATGTACCTACATATATAAAATGGTATACTGTTCGTCACAGTTAACTAAAATAATATCGAAAACCTTTTTTTACGTTTTTATAATATTTTATTTAATTATATAAATTAGTTAGTAATGACAATTGGTAAAAATATATTACCTAATATATTACAATATATAGGTTGGTTAAAATATATGCAATTTATATTTATATACATTTTTTAATCAATCAGAATATTATCATTTTTAGTTATCGATATACTTTAAACCACGTCTTATTGTAATCACCTCAGTTATTAGGTAGGTACTAATGTACTATTATAATATACACAATTATTACACATATGATATATTTTCAAATTAGTGTTTCAAATGCACTGATTTTTCGCATTAAATAAAGTGGTCGTGGGAATTACTTTATTTCGAAATACGAAAAACTATGTGTTATACGCTTTTAATGATTGGGAGAATGTCGAGTATAATATTAATAATTTTAAAAGACGTATGAAGCGGCTAAGTAAGTACCTACTTATAAAGCAATATAGGTATTATTCTGAGTAAGCTATTATAGTTAGTATGGATTGTTTTCAATAGGAAAACGAACGATTAATCGTTTAAAATAACATAAAAAAAAATGGAAAAGTAATAGTTATAATAGAAAACCATTAAGCATAGGTAATTCATGTTATTTGTATTGTTATTAAAGCCAGTAATTATGAGTTGTTAATTATTATTTAAAACTGCACTTATATTATTTATTATTTACTTGAGTATTGTGTTATGGATGCACAATCTATTTCAAATATATATTACACTAAGTATAAACACAAATAAAATATAAATAGATGCAAGGTGATTCACTAGTCAATTGTACCTAGTTTTATGATGGAAAAAAAGGAAATACAATACCTTTAAAAAAAATATAGTGAGCAATGTACATGTTTAGCAAATGCCTTGTGATTACATTTACGTAGGCATCTACATAATGTTATATTATAATTATTATAATATGTTATTGAAATTTATCTTATTAATTCTATTGGTAATCAAGTAATAAGTCGTTATATTGATTATTTTTCATAGTGCGATATTTATGTAGGTAAGTATCTATTATTAATTTAAATTTTCTTGTTTGCAATTATTTAGATATAATTACCTATGTAGGTATTAGCTTTTGATCAGGGATTGCAAAGTTATGATACAATGTCGTGATTATAACGTTATATTTGACAAAAAAAAAAAAAAACTATTGAAATCTGCTTATTTAAACGTAATTATAACGGAAAACGACAAACATAAATAATTAAATAACCCAAAACAAAACATAACGATTAACAAAATATAATATGATATATCATCATACAAAACATAACGCAAAAGTTATATTATATAGTATATCATTAAACTAAATCATCAATTTCATATTTTTTAATAGTTATAAATTATAATTTATAAAATACCTATATTAAAAATTTTAATTCTGAACAACGATAAACTCAATTTAATAGCATTGTTCTTTGTTCTCTAATTTTATGACTTACTCCGTTAAAAAATCAAATTTATTCAAATAAATTTAATACAAATGACTGAATATTTGTTATCAATCACAATTACTAATTAGTGATTATTAATCCCAGCTTACCAGTAAAAGCATTAATAGCTTGAAAAAATATTATCATTAGTTATATGGCCTATGCGCATCATGCACCATCAGTATCGCAATTCACGAATACCTAATAATATACATTGTTAATTTCTTTATTTTTGTATTTACCTTCTACCTACCTTATTAAGAAAATATTTAAGTAAATCGAAATTAATGTTCATCTTACGCATTTCATTAATGTCTTCATGATTGGTAACGTTTTACTGTTGTTAATTTACTATCATGTCAAATTTCAAAAATTGATAAGTTTAGTGAGTTATTTAAAAACAGTGATATTTAGTATTTTTTATTTACTTTGACTAAGATATTATTTAAATGTTATACTTATCTATTTACAATTCTTGAATAAGTTTATTGTATTTATTTTAATATTTTAACTAAATTTATTTACAGTTTTTCTTTGTAAGGACTATTTTTATAAACATTCGGTTTAAATAATATACCAAAGAAGCAACTTTGTTAATGTATTTGATAAGAAATCAGTAAAGTTAATTTAAAAAGATATACCTATTAGTTATATCTATTGAACACAATGTTCTTAGTAATGTTACCAAAAGATTTGTTTTAAACGACATTATCATTCTATTGAATTACAATATACATTTAGGTATCTAATTTAAATAATTCATTATTTTAATTCTAGTTCTAATATTTATCTATGGCTAATGATAATGTTTATGATAGTTTTCAATCACGACAGATCTTTAATTGTGATTGTAACGTATCTAATTATATAAGTATATAACTTTGCCAAGTATTTTTGTTGAAAACAATGTATTACTGATTATTCCATGTATAAATGCAGTAACAAAATTATTAAATTAATTAGATTTATTAATTAGGTTGTTGATAATAATGCGTTCCAATTGTCATTTAGTAAATCTTATTCCAAGTAATGTTAAAACTATTCTTAGTATGTACCTTCTCAAAAAAAATATTAAAAAAGTAGTAAAGAATATTGACTATGGCTTAAAGTTAAGCAATGAATATATTTTTTTTTAAATATTGTAATTATTATAGTGTTCATAATCAATCGATTGAGATAATCTAAATGTAAATGGCTTACTACTTTCTAAGACATTCCTAAGTCAACTATGGCTAAAACTTGGATTCAGTAATTTTTTCATAACACAGGACAAAGTTCAATTTTTATCGTGGTTTTACTACTTAGATTATTTGTGTGTTTTTTTTTTTGTATCATGTATGACTTCATTGTATTTTTTACAAATATATGTATAATTATTTAATATATTGTTTTTTTTTTTTTAATGCTTCTCAGTTTGTGTTTAATTTATTTTGGTGTTAACTTTATGTGTAAGATGTTTTTTAATTTTGTGAAATTATCAGATAATACATCTACTTCAGTTTATAATAATACCAATATTTATACATCTAACCAACATTTTTACTAACTTAAGCATCGGTTTTAATTATTCAAAATATATCATACTAACTTTTAAAAATTATCTTAAAAAAATCCAAAAAATTGCTTCATAAATGAAAAATAATTTAGATACACGTCAGTTATGAATATTTTGAAATATGACAAAATGTATGAACTTTCGAAATGTTAATATTATAAGAGTATAAGCTTCATATGATTTGTATTTTTTTTTATATTACAAATAAATTATCATTTATCTAATAAATAAATAAATTGAAGATTAACTATTTGTCTGAATTTTAGATGCTTTTTTTAAACAAAGCATAAATTGAAATAAAGAGAAGTACAAATAAAAGCTTTTAATGTAATAAAATAACATTAAAGTATATTAGAGCGTAAACAATTTTAAGCTTAGAAATGAAAACAATGTGCTGGGTATATGATAAGGAGAATGAATAGAATAAGGATGTATATGAATAGGATGGAAATAAAATGTGTGATCTATTCTCAAATGTAAGAAGTATGATATTGTTTTCCTAATAATTTATGTGTTTTGTAAAAGAAATGTTCCTAAATCAGGTAGAAAAGATAATTTAACTCTTCAAACTATTACAGCTGTAACGTTAATTAAATAAATTTATTTGTTGTTCATTACAAAAAGACATTTTAGTTGGCCATAATTATAATAAGATTAATGTAGAATAGTCTATATCTACTCTTTAAGTTTGAGAGTAAAAAGGTATCGTAATATATTTTATATTCTAAGTAATATTTTATTTTTCCGCGCATTTTCAAAGATGTAACTACTAGTGCTTTATCCGTGTGGTGAAAATATGAACTACAGTAGTAACACGTTCTAACCGTTCGAAGGCTAGCGATAGCTAATCCGTTTATCATTTTTAAACCCTGACATCGATGATAACTAAATATTTAAGTCGACGTTTCGACTGTCTATTTGAATTGTGAGTACTTCATACTTGATTCATATTATTATTAATATTAATGGCATATGTCTAAATAGATATATTTAAATACATCTATTTTGTTTTAATTGTCACGGTTTAATTTAACAGTCATAATTTGGAACAACAATTTTTCGAACAAACAGTTGCTATCAAAAGCTCGTAATTCGCTCTTCAAATAAGTTAGGAATTCTGTAAGGATATTAGTAGCAATCAACATACCTCTGCAGCTTATTGATAAGTCGAAATTTTGTCTGTAACTGCCATACAGTCCAAATTTAACAGCTTATCCTCATTATTTTATGGTATGTATCAATAAAATATCCCTTAGACACCTCTTGTTAATTAACTTTTGAAAATGAACATTTACATCTCACCTTTCCTAATTGTTATATCTTCAATCTGCAATAATAATATATTTTGTTATAATAATATGCGTAATCTATTGTATAGGTACGATTTATTTGGTACTTGTTGTTGAGCTATGGCAACGTTACTATTTATTTGTGTTCAAGTTCTTATTTTTATTTTTTCTTATCTGTTGTAATGAATGGTAATAAAATAAAACTGTTTGGTATTAACAATAATATGTTGTTATTCATATTTTTACAGTAATATTAGTTTTTTAAGTGAATAATCATTACTACTATAAAATTTTGAATTAAATAATGTTTTTTCTAGGTTCATCTCAAGTTTATTAGTTAAATATTTCACTTTATATTCAGTAATTTATAACAACAGATAACTTCATCGATATGGAAGATGAATTGATTGCAAAGTGAGTATATACTATATATTTTTCAATGATAATATAACTTTAATTACAGTATTAATTTATTAAAAGGAATTGTTTGTGTTAAACAGTCTTTATTTATAATTTATGAAACAAGATGCTAAATTTATCAATGGTTTATTTATAATACATTTCAATACTCATTTTAAAAGTAATGACAAAAAAAAAAAAATAGTATTTAGTATACATGATATACAAAAATTGTTTTGTGCGAATATGATGTATTAAATATTTAAATATTTCTCAGGTTATTTATTTCATTTTTTAAATACTTGAATATTCTTTATTTTAATTGATTAGTAGTTATTATTCATTTTTTCCTTGTTATTAGATTTTCTTTATATTTCCTTGTAAAAATATAGTTTTTTGACTATTTGCTTTGTATATTCTACATTTGATCTCTATTAATATTTCTTTATACTCTCTTTTTATAAATAAACCTATCAATCCATTATGTCGAAGCTATTAATTTCTTCTCCTATTTATGTATTGAAATTTTTTTACTTTCTACAGTACTTTTTATTAGTTTTTGTGTTTTTTGAACTTTTATTCTTCATTAAATCTTAAAGATCTCTATTTTCAGTTTTCTGCTTTTTGAATTAATTGAGTGTTATACTATATAACCGTGATTATAAAAGTTTTATTTTAATATTTTGACTAAAAAACATAGAATTTACAAAATAATAAAAATTAAATTTTATTATTAATAATATTATTTGTTGTATTTAGATACCAGATAAAAGAGTTAAGAGTTGTACTAGTTAGATGTGATGATATACTAGTATCAAATTATGAAGCGAAAAATATTACTGAAATAAAAATTGAAGACCAGATTGAAAAATCACATGTAAAGGATACTTTTGTAGATTATGACCATTCATTTACGTAAGTTAAATAATTTTACTTTTAATAGTTTTATTAGTGTTAATTTTAAGTGACGTTTTTTTTTAATTAAGAACAATATTAAATCTTATTAATTTAATGTGTCTTAAAATAATTATAATAAATTAACTATTAATTTACTTTTGCTTTAGAAATATATTAGAAAAATTGTAGTTTAAAATAAATATATGTTAATCATCTGAATTCACCTTTAAGAATTGATATGATAAAATTCAAGTCCAACTTTGCATAATTGACTAACAACATTCGATCACATATTCTGCATTAAATTAGATTCAGGTTATTTGATGGGGAGGGATTAAGGTTATTATTATTGAAATTATCAAACTTTTTTAAACCATTTCTATAAATTTTAAAGTATTTTGCATAATTAAAAAAACTGAGAATTTATATGCTATGCTGATACCACTTATATTTATTTAAAAAATAAAAAAAATATCACTTTATTAAGGTGCGTGTGTGTAGAATCTACATTCTATCTACATGGATTTAATGTTACATTTTTAGTATATCATCAAATTATCTATAATTAATACATTTTTGTTTGTTAAAATTTTTTTTTATTGATTAATGATTGTCTTGAAATTAATTAGTTTTGTTTTTTGGAGTTAATTGATATTACTAAAAACAGTTATATCATTTAAATAAGATGGATTCTTTATTCAGTAAGAGGAAAAGATAATTCATTAATAAAAATAAAAATTGTACATATTAGTTTTGCTTTAAATTATGTAGCTAGTTAAAATAATATTTGTGTCAACATTATAATGCAATTATCAAATTTTAAGTTATATACTTATACCAATTTTATAAGTTAAATATAAAGTATAGTCATTATTTTGTTTATAACAGCACCAATGAAATAATTTAACATTTTTTTTTTTTATAATAATTATTTTTACTTGTTTTATTACAACTAAAATTATATTTTTTTTAAAGGCCATTCTCTGTCAAAAAAGATGGGAAAACATGTTCTTACTGTGTTATGAAATATTCTGAAAAGAAGAAATTATATGATCATCTGAAACTGAGCATGGAGGATAGCTTGTTTAGATGTGAAGTATGTAATATAGCATTCAAACGAGACCCTGATATTATTATTGATTTAGAAAGGGATTGGAATAAACGTATTAAATGTGAAATCTGCCATATTATATGTTGAATCATTATAAACTTGAAGCACTACAATAAGATTCCTATGATCTTAACATCTTAGATTTTTTTCCCAAAGAAGTATTTGGCTAATTGGAAACATTATAATAAACAATTTGGAAAATAATCAAATTTTTAACTAGTAAAAAAAAAATAGATTTTTTTTAAATAGCTAAATATTTTAATTATTTTCAACCTATAAAGTTATTAATTTATTATGTAACTTAAATGTATTAAATGATACCAAATCCCTGACTATATATTTCCAAAATGTGAAATACAATATTTATTGTATTATATACAATCATTATTATATATTATTTTTCTTCTGTTTATTTTAAACTTTTGTAATATATTTTTAAATTCATTGTTTTATAAATTTTCAGTGTTAATAATTTGGTAATATAAATTATGTATGCAAACATGCACTAAAAAAGCTAAAAAATGCATAACAAGCAAAATAAAATTTTTATTTTTATTAAATTTTTAATCACTATGTGATACATTGTATAAATTATTTTATTAAAATTAAATAGTAGATACATTGGTGATATATATAGGAAAAAAGTACGGTTTAATAAAGTATGTTAATTGGAAAACCAATGAATTATCAAAGGTTATTTGAAACGTAAAATGTTTTTTATTACATAAACATACTTATAATCTGTTTTTTTGCTCAACACCTTTTTGGATTGTTTGGTATATATGGTTTTTGTGTAAAATATGCAAAAAAAATGCAGTATGGAATTTTGATATTTGGTCAATCAATTAATGATTTGTGGACAATTATTGACTGCACATATATGATGTTGAAAATAGCAACATGCATTTTATGCAAAATCCAGGTCTTGAATTATAATATATTAGTTTTGATTTCCAATACGTATTATTTTCAAAATAAATTGCAAATTATTATGTATTGCTACTTTTTATTCTAAAATTGGTTGATTTGTATTTTATCAATTTGTCAATTATTTATTTTATGTGTAGTATAGTAAATTTATGTTCAACAATTTGAATTTTGTGTTGTAAGATTTAATAATAGTTATTAATTTACTTATTATGAAAATTAAAGTTAAGTTATCTGTAAAGTAATTTATGGTTTATCTTTGGTATTTTAATTTTTTAGTCAACTATGATAATTTTTAATTTGTAATATTTGCCTACTCATTACTAGTTTAATAATTCTAATAAATAAAAAATAAAAAAAACACAGAGAATGTTCTCACTTTTAATTTTGATTATTCATAAATTATCTTTATTATTAAATGTTAGTGTTATTGCACCGATTTAAAACTACTGAACATAAATTTGTTATGTTATCTGGTTTACAAACAGGCAATACAAGTTTAAGTTCTGTAAAAGCACAAAGCACATTTTAATACTTAACTACTTTTTAATTTTAAATAAATCTGATTATCTGTATTTTTTTATTTAATGAATGTTATATTCATACAGTAGAAATTAGTTAATTTGACACAAACTGTTGGGTTATTGAGAGCGTTTGACTAATTTTATGCTGAAATATTAAGACTACTGTATATTTAAAAAACATAATATGAAATATTATTAATATAGTGTAAAGATTAAATTACATATCTATAAATCAGATATTTTGAAAATATAATTTTAAAATAATTCTAATAAAATGTATCATTTTTTTTTATATTTTATGGTTTTTTTTTCTAATGTCAATTGTTAGACCTAATAATTGTATTAAAGTTAATTTATGTAATTTTACCTGTTATTATTTAGTTTATATAATACAAAAAAGACATTTTGTAATAATAATATTTTGGCAGAAAACAAAATATTTAAAAAAGTTTTTAAATCTTAAAATCTTAAAATCATGTATTTATACTTTAATCTAATTTGTCTATGCTGCTGTTTTAAATATGTATTTGTTTTTTTAATTATTTCAAGAACTGACTCATAATTCATAAATATCAAACAGAGATTATCAGATTAACAAAACACCTATTTTTAGATAAAGAAAACCTCAAACATCATCATCAAATGCTATGTTTTTGTATGAAATTCCTAGTGCACTATTAGTTTTCTTTCTCGATGGCTAATAAATTTGGGACGTTGTATTACAAGTTATACCAAGTTATATAATATGTTATGGCTATATTATTTTTCATATCATTATTGTGTGTGTCTGAGGTTCATCATCAAACTTATGACATTCATTTAATTTATCATTAATTATATGATCAATACTAGAGACATATTTCAAGTTTTTTTAGGGCTAGTAATTTTCACCGTCCCCATCCCTGCAATATTGATATGCAGCATTAATTATTAAAATATAAGTATATAATTTATAAAAAGTTTACTTAATATGTATCATGAACATGAATATAGTTTATATATAGTATATATATAAAAAAAAAACATCAAGTTACTCAAGATGAAAATATCCAAAAGAAAATACTAATAAAGTAGGTAAAAAGTAAAGAGTCTTTTTACTTAAGCCTTATGAACTTTGGTCATGAAAAATTAAAATTTATTAAAATTGAATAACGTTTAAACACGTTAAGTAAATCTTCTGATTATATCTATTATATGGTAATTGGTAGAATTAGTAGGTATATAAAAATTTAAATAAAAACGATTTTTTTTTTTTAAATTATTATATTAGGGCCAAAAAATAAATAAAAAAAATGCCCGAATTGCATGCAGTGTACTCTCAAGTTTATATTTATTTATATATTTACAACTTTAACTTTATTTTTTACTTTTCTAATATTTAAAAAAATATTAATAGAAACGCTTTACGACATGATTGTTACAACTGATTAATTTCTAGATTGAAATATTTTTATATCCGAGTAAACATTTAACCAAACTGCACCTATTGCAGTGTATTGTTGTCTGTTTCAGTGACATATGTATCAGCCACTGTTTGTAACGCAGGTGCTTACAATATTAGTAGACTTGCCTGTTTCTTAACGGTGTATAAGTAAATATAGTAATAAGTGAAGAGTGGACTGTAAATAAATAGGTTTCAACATAAAATATTAGAAAATATGAATAATGTGTTGCTGACTAGTATAATAAATAAATATGTTTACAATATAAAAATTGATAAAAATAGCTTAATATAATTTGCTCACAATTGGTATAGCACCAAAACAAAAATAATGTGATTAAAAAATTGATGAGTTTAGCAAAAAGCAATAATATACAAAAAAAAAAAAAAATTGGTGAATAATCCAAATATAGGAATAACAAAGCATCACAAAAACCATGCAGCTGCAACCTGCTCCAACTTTGAGAAAAATGTGACGTGGAATTATTAATTGACGTGGTTCACCCAATGAGTTATAAAACAACTTCCAACGTTTTTGCAGGTCCTCCGGTAAAATTTAATAAAATTTAAAATTAATTTAATTTAAAATTTAGTTTAATTTAAGAGCCCACAGCTGCTGAATAAATATCTTTCCCTTAATAAGTACAGGAGAAATGAAACCAACAGGGTCATAAATCCTACTTATTTCAGAGAGTAATGTTCGTTTGGTGATTTTTACAGCAAGAGTCCGTTCTCCCAATTCAAAGTAGAATATGTCAGTGCTTGGCTGCCACATTAACCCGAGTGCACTAATCATTTCTTGGTCAGTTAGTGTTAACCGGTAGACTGGGACATTATCAGTAGTAGGAATTTGTGAATTTGAGCACCACTTTCGAAGTGGAAAACCAGTAGATTAAAAAATGGTATGGTACTAAGTTTTTTGTGCAAGGTATAGCAATGATTTTTGGTAGCACCGCCCATAAGATCATCTACATAGAAGTCTTCAACAGTGGTTTTTTTGACTGACGAGTCATTAGTGTCTTGAGCTAACTGCAGGAGACACCTGGTGGTTAGGAATGAGGCAGACTTGGTGCACAATTTGAACTCTTGCAAAGGCTGATCTGGTGTTTCACGATATACAATTCGTTGTACATTACGGTCTTCAGGGTGCACTAATACTTGTCGATACATTTTTGCAACGTCAGCAATTAATGCTATTGCGTGGGTGCGAAATCTAAGTATTATGGAAATGATATCATTCTGTGTTTTTAGACCTCGATGAAAAATGTCATTGAATGATAATCCTGATCTTGCACTTGCCGACCCATCAAAGACTACTCTGACCTTGGTGGTTATACTATCTGCCTTTACAACCGCATAATGCGGTAGATAATATGTCGCTACTTCACTGCCTTCCTCAGCCTTTCCCATGTGGCCTAATTCTAAGTACTCGCGCATGAATGCCTTATACTCATTAGTTAGCAATAGTTCTTTTTGCAATATTCTTTCTTTTCTTTCTTTCTTTTCTTTCTTTCTTTTCTTTCTTTCTTTTTTTTTTTTTTATTTTATTTTCTTTAAGTTGATAAATCTTTTTACAGCCATGTAATGGGAATCACCTAAATCAGAGGGCTCTTGTTTGAATGGTAGTCGTACAATAAACCGACTAGACTTATCTCTGGACACAGTTGATATAAAATGTTCTTCAGCATAGCATTCTTCGGCGGCTCTACTATTGCCCTTTGTGGCATGCAATACGACAGCTAATTGACTTACAGGTCCATGAGTGACTAGTTATGTACTTGCTTCTCCACGTGGGACATTATGAAGTTGACACGTGACAATTCAACCAAGTGCAGTACTATGTGCAATCTAATTATTAGATATAGCTATTTTTTCACCATAGGAAATCTCAAAGAAAACATCTGCACCCAGCAAACAATCAATTGACCTTAGCTCATGAAATTATGGGTCAGCCAATTGCTGCCTGATGATATTTGGTATACTCAACTCGTTGATCTTTACTCTACACGATGGTAAGTCACTAGTAACTACTGGAATGCAATAGAATGTCAGTGCAGTAGAGTATTCGTTTGTGCGAGACGACTGACTGACAATGAAGTAGACCTAATGCATTCTATGGATGTGGAGTCATCAATATGCTTTAGTTGTAACCTTTTAACACATGTCTTTGTCATAAAACTTAACTGGGAACCAGAATCTAATATTGCTCTGTATTGTTGTGGTTGACCTAAGGCATTATTGATATGGATGATGGCAGTTGCAAACATAGCATGGTGATGCGACACACTTTCTGATACCATTACCTTGTTTGTGTGTATACTTGTAACACTTTAAGTGGCACAGTTTCTTCAACATCACTAACATCTTCCTTTTCTGATTGAGGTGGTTGATTATAATGAAGCTTGGTGTTATGTTTTGTATCACATATTTAACAATTGCTGAATCTGCATTCGCTAGCATGATGACCCAGTAACATACAATTAAAACATAACCTATGGTTAACTACTAAAACCTTGCGTTTAACTATCTTCATATCATTAAATCTTTGAAATAAGTATAACTTGTGAGGTTTTTTGCATAACACACATGATGGTACATTTTTTGATTGGTCTAACTTCTTTGCAAACACCATATTACGTAATGTGAAACATGGATATGGTTTTGAATCACAACACGGTTTTTAGCGTTAAAATTATACGTTTATTTTACAACAATATTGCGTTAAATGTGGCCGAACATGCCCGTTACGCCGGTTACGTATATACTGACGATTTTAACCCGTGCGATATGATCGCCGAAAATTTGTCTTATCTTATTTTTATCGATACGCCGCTACGTACCGAACACACCACCTTTTTTGGAATTGGTCGCTTTCGAGTATCTGAAACCACAGCTTCTGCAAGGGTGTTGAAGTTACCTATCTCATAGGCAGATATTCTATTTGATAGGAATATCTCTTGGTCAGTAAAATTTGGTAATTCCTTTGTAATTTTGCGAAATTGTTACTCACCAACGGTGATGTTATCCAACTTATAATAGATCAGCGTCACAAGCCATGCATCCCACAGCTTAATTGGTTGATTCAATGCTTCTAATACTATAACATGATGATGAAGCCTTTAAAGTTCACTTGCATTTGCATTCTTTACCTTAGAAGTGTCTAACAATGATCGAATATGTGATTGAATTATGAGGGAATGGTTTTCATATCTCATAACAAGTGCATTATATGCTCGTTGATAATTTCACAAGCTGACTCACACATGTATGCCTTTAAATAATATAATTTTTGCACTTCAGCTAGATCCTTTGTTGTTGTGAAACATGGCATCAAATGAGTCCTTAAATGGTGGCTAATTTTGTATATTACCATCAAACACAGGTGCAGGTACTGAAGGCAACCGCATTGTATCATTGGTGTGAATTTCATTTTGCACCGACACCTGATTTGTCTTATTCGACCGTAATGCAAATAATGAAGCTTGAACGTTGTACACTAATTTATTAAATTCAATTTTATATCGACTTTGGTTGTCATCTGTACTCTTATCCAAGTTTTCAATTTTATCTTGAATCTCTTGGAATAGCTTCACTATGTTTAGAATTTGCTAGAGTCTAATGTCAATTGATTGATATGCAATAGTGGATTCTTCAAAGTTACTTATAAATTTAAATGCGTTGTCGCGTTGATAATTCATTCACCAAACCCACCTTGCGACGTACTAATGAATTATTCACGCTACTCTCCATAGCAGGTATGTTTTCCTTGTTAGCCTTCATCGTAGATGTTGTGCTGATCATCCTTAACAAGCTAAGCACAACAGTTTATATTATTATTTATGAATATTAAAAGGAGTTTACAATAACGAAATTATTGTCACTGTTTGTGCTTTACACTCTCTTGCCTAAATGCTTATGTTACAATAAAAATAATAATATGATATAAATTATAAATAGTTCAGCAGAACATTATCATTATTTTCTATCCGGATCAACTGGACCAAAAAATGTATGTAACGCAGGTATTTGCAATATTAGTAGACTTTCCTGTTTCCTTACGGTGTATAAGTAAATATAGTGTTTGTCGTGATAACCGATTTAAATAAACACGGTTGTATCTCGACAGTTTTAATTGCTGGATGTCATCATATGATGAAAATAAGTAATAAATTATATAAGTGGACTGTATAAATATAACGCAAATATAACTTAATACAATATATTGCAAATTATCTTACACGAAAGAATCTTAAGGCTATGTTAGTCCTAGCACAACATAAGTAATACGTATAAAAATAATAATAATAACAAATTCACGAACGTGATACTAACAAATATAAAATAATATTATAATAAAGTACAATACGTCTGACCTGGTCGTGGAAGAATGAAACGGCTCCAGGCGACGTTCCGTCAATTGACAATGTCGGTCCAATAACAAACTCGTGAAAGGAAACGGCGCGTCAAAAATGGCGACAAAACGGTCCGCAACCGGTCTCGGATGAACACACGAAACAATAATAAAAGAAACAAAACACGTTTAATGCCAGTAAAAGGTAGAATCAGCAAACAAGGCGACAAAAATATAATTATATCGCCCGCACTAGCGATTAAGTCCACCTTATACAAAAAACGAAATGGATCGGTGACAAAACGAATAAAAAACCAAACGCCAGGATCATGAACAACGAACTAACTAAAAGCATGGCGACTCACTCGGTTGTTTCCGCGAACCTGATAAGGATAACATAACCTATAGCCGACGGCGCAGGTACGGCAGGAACAGTGTTTCCACGAACCGAATTTTACTGTTTTTTTTCTTGGCGTCGTCTGGCCCAAACATATAGTAATAAGTGAAAAATGGACTGTAATTAAATAGGTTTCAACAAAAATAATAGAAAATATGAATAATGTGTTGTTGACTAGTATAATAAATAAATATGTATACAATATAACAATTGATAAAAATAGCTTAATATAATTTGCTCACAATTGGTATAGCACCAAAACAAAAGTAAAGTGATTAAAAAATTAATGTGTTTAGTATAAGGTGTGCAGTTTAATTAACAATATTTATTCAGTTATATTTTAACAACAATAATTGTATTCATTATGTTTTTGTACAATATTTTCTTTTAAAAGCATATTTGATACTCAAAGAGTGTACAGTGAAATTAATATACTGGGAGTTTACATAAAAGGGTGGGAATGTGTGACACAAAACTTACGGTTGTTAGGTAGTCAATGTTTGTTGGGTTCCGCAGTGGCTCATACTGACTCTCGGCGTGCGTAAGGGTTGACAGGTGTCAAGTCTACGTGGCAGCTAGTTTAGGTGGTGGGCAGCTCTCCGTGGTAAAGGCTAGTTCAGACTATGCCAGTAATTTAGTCAAGTAGCGAGTAATTTAGCTACTAAACGTGTATGAACAGACTGATTTAGTCGAGTAGTTTAGTAAATTTATTTAGTAATTTAGTAATTAGTGGATCCATTTACTTCTATTTTTTCTGGTTGAGTAGCATCCCCCCACTTTTCTGACTAATTACTAATAGGCGGTCTGAACGCATTATTTTAGTTTAGTGTATTAGTTATCCTTGTCAGTGTCAAGATGACGTTTCGTTGGGGTGAAGACACAACATTTAAATTTGTTTCGGAATATATAAAACACGAGTCTTTATGGAACATAAAATGTCTGCTGTATAAAAATAAACAGGCCAAGCTATCTGCTTGTAATGAAATACAAAAAATTATGAATATACCTGGATTCGGTGTAAAAGAGATAAAGTTAAAAATTAAAAACATAAGGTCAGTATATGTTTATTAAATAATAAATAGATAACTATTAACTTTTAACACTTATTTTAAAATACATAAACAGGTCTACTTATTCACAAGAGCTAAAAAAAATAAAGGATTCGAAAAGATCCGGCGCAGGTACCGACACTATTTACGTACCATCTATTAAATGGTTCAACATATTGTATGATACCCTACGTTCTATTAATTCTGAGTTGACGGAAAGTCACAGCAATTTGGTATGTATACAGTATACTGTACTTATTTTAGTTTTAATGTAAGAATTAAAGTATACATTTTATACATTACAACTATATAAATAGCACTACTATTATTGTTTTTGTTATCATGGATTTTTGTGAACAATAATTAATCAAATACAAATAACTTATTAAATATGAATGGAGAATGTTTATTCAGATTATTAATACATATTTAAAATTATACTATACAGTTTTAAATTATTTAAAAGTTTATTATTATTATTTTAAAGTTTATAACTTAAGTTGACATTTAAGAAAAAAAATCGTCCGAGTCACGTGTACATTTGTACATTTTAGTGCACCATCCTTGTCTGCCAAGGAATCGATCCTTCTGCCACGAAGTAATCGGCATATCTTTCACGAAGGTCTTGAGATCTTCTGGTTGAATGATTGGCTAAACTATTTTTTAATGATTCAAAACCATTCGGCTCTGACTCGTCCCTCCAATTACCTCGGACAATTTCTCCAGTATCAAAATTTTCTGAATCAACTGTATATTCAAATTGTCTATATTGTAATTTAGTTTCATTGAGCCAGTTATGAAGAGCACAACATGCTTTTACGATAAGAATGACCTTTTCGGGGCTGTATGGAAACGGTTTTTCAAATACTCGAAATCTAGCGGCCATTATGCCGAAAGCGTTTTCGACTATTCTTCTTGCACGCGACAATCTATAGTTGAAAATTTTCTGTTTTAATGTCAACTGGTTTCCAGGAAATGGCTTAAGTAAATATTCTTTTAAGGGAAATGCGTTGTCGCCAACTAAAACATGACCTTCTGGTAGCATACCGTCCTCTAATGCTTGATACAAACTGCAGTTACGAAAAACACCTGCATCAGACACTCTCCCATTACATCCGACATCTATATAACTAAAACAATATTTATGGTCCACTACTGCCATTAAAACAATACTGTTTGATTCCTTGTAATTGTAGTACAAGCTTCCTGATTCGGGAGGTGCTTTAATTATAACGTGTTTGCCATCAATAGCGCCACAGCACATGGGAAAGTTCCATTCGTTTTTAAAACCCTTCTCAATATTTTTCCAACCTTCTTTGTCAGGAACCTAAAAATACATAATACACAATTTATCTAAATTTTATAATAGTATTTTATTATTAAGTTCCCTATATTAAATTATTAAAAAAAAATTAACATAATCTATTTACTAATTTTTCAGTCAAACACAGATAACGAAAATAATATATCTGTAACAGAAACCGAACACACAGAAAATACTACTGAACTCACATTAAACTCTGAATTTTGTGGATCAAAACCAAAAAAGCAAAGACTTTCACAACTTAAGACTATGGTCACTGAGTTAAAAGGGATAACCGAAGCTGTTAACTCTCCGGTAGAAAACGAGTTTGAGGTTTTTGGAAAACACATAGGGCTACAACTACAATCAATGCCATTACTATTAGCACTTGAGGCACAAGAACATATTCAAGTTTATTTGAATAGACTTCGTAGACAGCATTTACAAAACTCTTCTGACCAAAATACAATAATTAGGAGATCACCCACTCCATCGGTATCGTCATACACTCAACAAGATTCACCTTATAGTTCTGCTTCAACATACAGTTATTTTAATAGTCAGTCCCGTGAAGATACAGAATGCTCGTCTCAATCAATTCCTCAAACACAACAATATAATATTCAACATACAACGATGGAAGATATATCTACCTCAATAATTATGCCGTCATTTCAAGGTTTGCAAAATAGCACTACCACGAACGACATAATTGCAACTGCAATCAATAACGCCAATGTTGATTTTTAAATATATTCGAGATGCGAGAGCATTCAAATATGTTTTTATTAAAATATGAAAATTAAATAATAATTTTGTTATATTTTTTTCATACCTTAAGTTATAAAATATTTCGAATTATTATTTTGTTGAAAGTAATTGATAATACTGTTTTATAACTTAGGTTTTATGATTAACCTAAGTTGAATTGTATGTTAAAAAATAAAAAGTGATGGTTTTTTTTAATAAATTAATAAATGTTTTTAAAAATTAACTAGATAATGGGTTTTCAAATGATTTTTTTATTTCTTACCTTAATAAAGTCCTGTAATGAATCGTAAATGGCTATACAAACTTCTGGAATGAATTCTGAAATAGTTGATTTTCCAAGTCGAAAAAGATGTGTTAACGTCCTTAAACTGCATCCCGTAGCAAGAAAGTATAGAACTGTTTGTAATTTTGTTTTTGCAGGAATCGCCATTCTTAAGTGAGTGTCACTACGTTGAATTTGTGGTTGCACTTTTTTCAACAAAAAATTAAAACAGCTTTCAGACATTCTTAGCGTTACGAAGTATTCTTTGGGGTCTTCAAATTCTAGTTCTCTAAGAAGACCATTTGTAGCTCCCAATGTGTCTCTTCTCTTGATCCATTCCCTAATCCACATTCGCTTTGAACTTTTATTAAGCTCTTCTTCTACATCTTCTAAAATAGCCGTTGAAATAAGTCCTATTGCCTTATTCAAATTTTTTTTTTGTAAACTATTCATTTTGGCAATCACTTTTCACAGCACCAAAACGAATACTAATGTACTAAAACAGTTTTAAACTCTATTGTGTCTTAACACTTTTCAGTTACTAAACCGTTTAGTAGTTAGTAAGTCACTTACCACTTGACTAAATTACTGGCATAGTCTGAACTAGCCTTAAGACACTTTTGTGACTAAATGGCAGCGGACTCGGGATTCAACGTCTCACGGCACGAGAAGGGCAAATGGGATAACGACTGAGTTTCGTACGAAACTTGTTGGTCACTGGTGAAGCCTGTGGCTAATCCGTAGATAATGATGGCTAGTATTGACCGGATTATGCAGGCTAGGGAGTAGTGCTGCTTTGATAGTTAGATGACTGTAACCATGTCTAACAATCGTTAGTAACATCCGGTTTACACATTCACTGCACTCAGCGAGGAAAATGGTGGTTTTGGCTATGGCTGCTGGCTGGTATATATGCTACTGCATACTGTAGCTTTGTATGCAGACTCACAGTTGTACCTTTCGTGATTGTAAGTTCTTTCGTACACCTTAAAACCCATTGAAAAATGTTGACTTGTAATTCAGAATCCGTAGATTCTGAATCTACAAAGAATGTAGTTTTAAGATATACGGTTTTTCAGAAAATTAATTTCCTTTTGGTGGGTGGTGGACCGTCGGAGAATGTTCGGTATTTCCACACTATCTGTGTTGCGTCGGGACAGTTGCGCGGTGCGGTAATAGGGTGACGGGTAACAAGAGTGCGCCACGTACGTGATCACTCCGTTTTATCTTGTTACAAAGGTAATAATATACAGAAAAAAAAAAATTGGTGAATAATTTAAATATAGGAATAACAATGTAAAAACAATTGAATTAATATAGGTAATTAAAAATCTAAAGAATATAAGGATAAACAATTTGGTTAATTTTTGAAATTATAATAGTACCAATTACAAAATTTTACTAAATCTCTATTATGAATATTACAGAATTAAGTTAATCAATGCAACTACTATAATTTTAACCATAAAAAACAATATAATAATAATTAGAATAAATATAATATTTTATGGTAAATAATAGTGGTGCACCACTTACCTAGGTATGGTTATGGGTTGAGCAATGCCGGGATCTGTAGTTAAAATTGTACACAATATAAGAAAGGACAGGTATGATCTCAGCACATGTGCTCTAACACCATTAATTACACAACGACTAGACAAGCTGAGACTGAGATTCAATAATAATAATGCAACGAACGCTGTGCAAAATAAGATAAAACTCACGTTTAGTTGCTGGTAATGGCGTGTATGTTTATTATAATAATAATATCGATATAATATATATGGTCGCAATGACCCGGCTGGTACACTTATAATATTTGTCCTAATGACAAAACAAATTAAAACATGAATAATATGTTGCCGCATTGACAACAAATAAAAATAAAACTAGTAAATAATTTATCGTTGCTTCGATAGCAAGAAAGAGAGAAAAATTTATCAACAACACAAAATTGATACATTGTAACGGGGCAATACAACAGACAATATCAATTGTTACAACAACAGAGTACGCGCAGAGTACGCGATGTCATCAGGAAAACGACAATAAATTAATACAAATGATACCAAGAGAGCGCGCTCACAAAAAACCCGTTATCGCCTCACTGGTAAACATGTACAATCATCACATGCAATATGGAAAGAACTAACGCGAGTGGCAAGCCAGAAATGACATATAAGGCCAACTAACATCAACAGAAAGTACCAGTCCCTATCTTTTTATTCGAATTTATATATAACGACCTAAATCGAATAAAAGATGTTCTTAGATACTGGAACACCATCCCCTAAGATATTAGCCACATAGTTGAGTTGTCCAAATACTTACCGACCTCAAAAGCCCGTGGTAGTGGTTGGAATTATCGTTCCTTTTGTGGAATCGTTCCAATCGGTACAGGTACAATAAAGTACCGATTACAAAATACTCGTTACATCGGTACAGTCTTTATTTAGTTACACTTGTACACTAGTTGGTTTTGTATCGAATGTACCGGTGGAACGATAAATGTACTCGTTCCACCAATGTAATCGTTTCATTGTACCGAATACAGCAGTAACTACCAACTACCCACCACTACTAGTTACTCAGATTCGTTTTGTTCGCGCGGAACGATCAAAACGCATATATTCAAATGTGAACTCGTCCTTGCATAGGTTATTTATGAATGAATATGCTTCGTACTTTGTAGGCTCATTATACAACACTATATTATTGCATTCGGATAAAATTAGCTTTAAATAATTAATTTATACCAGTAATGCTGTTTACAATATTTAAGTTATAATATAAATATACGTTTCAAATGCCTAATCAAAAATTCCCTCTGTTTTAATATTATTTCAATCAGTACAGTTAGTAATTATAATTAAGTACCGATTCATAAAAAACACATTAAATAAAATTAAATAATTATGTTTATTTTCAGCAGAAATAATTATAAAAATACAAA